TACTTTATGTGGTATTTCGTACGGGATCCAAGTCTATTCGAAGAGAAACTTCAACTTTGGCAATGATCTCTACTGACGTCCTACTTGTTGATATCAGATAAAGATCTTCTATTGGTTGCATAGGAAAGATGCATACCCATACATGCATGATGGTATGTGCCATTTGCAGCTACAATACTTCATGCGAAGTCTATTTTAGACTTCGCTTGGTGGTGCGCATCCATTATACCCTAGACTGATAAGCCATTGCACTACACATACATTGGATGGCGCAATTTATAGGAGAGCATATTAGGTGATGACAAATTGTCATGCTGTTGGACCCTAGCGCACCGTACCCCATTGGTTTCAAGTTGTACGACTTGATGGGGTTTCCCATATTTACTGCTATCTTCCTCCATTTCTCTTTTCCTCCCTCTTTTCATAGATATTATTTTAATCATAGTAACGCTCGATGATAGAGAATAAGGGTACTACCGAGCTTTTGTAAAATTACAGTATGGATGCAGTAAATCTTTATCTATTTAAATTATTTCCAATTCATTGAGATTGTATATACTTAAAAGTCCGTTATCTTTCATTTGGCATCAATTATTTAAGGTAAGGTTGTTTCTGTATTAGATTGAATGGTTCACATTCATTTAGTATATCTCAAGCTTCCGATCATTATATTATGGAAAAGTGTACTGTTATGTATTTTCAACATTAATTGAAAATATTATTAAAAAAGAAAAATAATGTGTTAATGTAATTCACAAATATTATCATTTATATGATTTGGATTCAGAATGTTTCTCTCCGTCCATGTATCAAGTTTTCTTGAAAAGATCGTAGCTTTCGGTTTGTCAAATTTTGTAATAAACAATATATCTAATCATATGAATAGTTCTCCATATTCATCTAAAACTTTTAGCTGCATATATATATATATATATATATATATATCTAAGTTTCACTGGAAAGTTATGTTGGTTTATTTTTAATTGATACTATTTGGTTATTTTTATGTGAATATAGTTATTGAAATTAGAAATCTAACTACCTGATTTGAAATAAGTTTATTTATAGTCTATTTTAAAATAAAATGACAAATTTTTTTATAATAATCATATATATTCAAAATTCAATTAATTACAAAAGTTTTGAAATGAATTAATATGATTTTAAATCATATATGAACTTGGAAAAAGATTTAATTGAATGATGAATGAATAATATTTCCAGAATTTATAACGTTAAAATTATGGTTTTTATAATTGAAGTTATAATTTGAGAATTAACTATCTTGTCTGATGTCTGTTGAATATTTGTATTACTATTCATACATTGAAACCATAATGACATATGTAAATATGTCATGATTGTATGGAAACATTCAAAATTATCGTTTCAAAAAATCTTATTGCTCTTTTTTCCAAAAGGTAAAAGAACCATACTACAACATCCTATGGACCAACAAACTTTCACGAGATTGATTATATATATAATCAGATTATTTATATGATTATACAAAATAAATTTTGTATCTTATATTAAAATGAGTTACATATGCAAACAATATATCTGTAAATGCATGAATATTTACTAATTCATGAATGCAATTTTGGACTGATTTGCAAATATCTAGATCTACATAGAACACACGAACAATAATGTAATCTGTTGATAAATGTTAGTATAACTCTAGAAAAAGCTAAGCTTAAATGTTGATGTTAATGACCAATCTCATGTACTTGTTTCACGATAAGATTTAGATTCAAGAGAGGATAACAATTCTTTTCAATTTATTTTTAGTTCAATCTCATAAATTAGAACTAAATTTATATTAATTTCTATAGTTAATATTTTAAGATTATTTTTATATGATTAGACTTATCAATTTTTATTTAAATTTTTATTCAACCATTGATTGTTTCTCACGATCATATTTTTGAAAATAATGGTAGCTTGTATGAATGTATATACTTCTTATTTTTTCACATTGTCTCAACTAGTCAAATTATCATTCAACTCTTTCAACAATCATTTGATTATTATAGGTGTCGTGGATTAGGTTTTTTTTTATATTAGTCAATATTATTATAAATAATAATTTATAAGAATAATTTTCATTTTGAAACAATTTAGCTTTGATTTTGATTTCAGAAAAAAAAATTTCAATAATAAATCATCTAAAATATGTCTTTGAACAATACATAATAAAGTATTCTTTCTTCCATCATGTTATTTGGTTTCAATTTGTTGAAATACCTATCAAAGTATTTTTATAACTCAAAATTGATAATTAAAACGCAATCTACATCATAAGTTAACTTAAAAAATTGGTTTGAGTTCAGTAACCAGTCAGCAATTGTACATGAGTTAATTCAGTTTTCAAAATCTACTTATAAGTATGTAGTATGTATTTAGGTATGATGTTTACTAGAATTCGAAATCATACAATTGAATTACTACTGTGATTTAGAAAATTGTAATTTTTTTGATATTTATAAATTTTCCCAAAATATTCATACAAAAAAAATTATATGTAAAAGTTTTATTGAATATATATTATAAATGTAATATATTATAAATATTTTTCTATACATGTCTCATAAAATCATTTCCAGTTTTTAGAGAACTACTTCTTTGCAATTGTAATAGCATTTACAATTGATATTTGAAATTTTACGATCTGTGAAAAGAAAACCTATTTTGCGTTGATATCAGCGGAAATATATTAAATATGTTTCTAGTTTGCACAGTAGATTTTAGTAATTAATTATATGAGAGAACTTTTTTAATTTAAAATATATAAAATATGAGATATCAGTGAGTTTGGATTTATTTATTTATTTATCACATTTTTGAAAATAAAATAAAAAATGATTATTATGATATATTTTTGGAGATTTTCTTATCAGATATTTGTAAGGATGAGTTCTTTCAAATATTGACAATTCACTTGTTTCAAAAAAAATAATTCTGTGATATATTATCCTGTGAACCGAAATTAAAAATATTAAAAATTAATTGTGATTTAAAATTTTTTGATTTTAGATTATTAGACTCAATAAATGTAACCTCAATTTTAGATATTTAATACCAAGTACCTCATTGAGACAGTTTCAGGTTCTCTCCGATTAGTCCGAACAAAACTTTCTATTCGGCTAAGTGAATATGTACCGTAGCAAAGTGTGAATCTGAGTTTCGAAAATCAAGCCAAAGGTTTCACTAATTCGGTTCTCAAATTCAATTTGAACTATCAGAAATTGTTGAAAATTCGACGCTAATTGTCGTCTTTTACCATGGGGTGTTCACCTTCAAATGGACAGCTGGGAATGTAAGGTTCGTTGAGAAGGGAAATACGAGAAGTACTCTCAGGTAAAGATAGTGAATACGAGTACTTCTGAACGGATGGCATTGACATGTATTATTGGAGAACAAAATTGAAATCTTTGAACCGACCTGAAGAAATCGCAAGGGGTTGAGAAGTACGTCTTTAAAAAAGTTACCCTATCCCAAAAGTTAAAAAATCATTCACATGAGAATCATACAACTGGAACGCAACATTTAAATGTCATGCTCATGACATGAACCACGTGCATGAAGACTATCAGATATTTTTGCCAAGAGAACTCGCCGTCAGCATGTAGAGTTTGCGCAATAGCTGCAAGAGATTCACGTGGATCATATTATTCCCTATTCCCCGGGAATAATATAAGTTTACTACAACGAAGGGTGCTTCCATCACCTGAGGACATGGAGAATACTCACCATGCTGGGTGAGCAAGGTTGTTATGAAACAAATTGTATCTCAAGAGTTGAGAGGTAGTCATCCTCCGTATTTGTCTGGTATTGGGCTACCTACAAGCAGAGATGCGTCCGTTTTTTATTTGAAGAAATACAGACACATTTACATCGTCTTTAAAAAAAATATGATTTGTATTTAAGACGTTTTAGAATGGCTAACTCTAATATGTACCTACAACTCAAATCTTGCGGGTTGAACTTCTCTTTCACAAAGTGGAGGAGATGCTTGACACCTTTTAGAATTTCTAGTGATACAAGTGTTTGCAGGGAGGATAAGGTTAATATAGAGTTGAGTTGACTTGGATGAAAATCTTAAGTGACTTCTGATTTTCTTGAGTTTAATACACTAAGACATTATACACGTTTTCGATCCTTTAACTAATGCTAGCGTTAAAAAAGATTCTGACGCTTCATATCGCCTCGACATGGTACCAAAATGATTGTCTGATGTAAATTATGCATGGTGATGTAGATGAGTAATAGCAACACCTGCTTAGAAATTGCATTGCAACCAAGCAATATGAGTGAGCAAAAGAATAGAGAAGGGCTAGTTATCCCTCATTTAGGGTTAATTAACCTTCACCCTAGTATATGGTCTCATTTGATTGGTCCTATAGTTGCTACTGTATCGATCAATCAGAGAATTGTGTATATGAGAGTGATAACTAATTAGCCGTAAGTGAAAGATGACTAGACGCTCCCAAGAGTAGAAAGTGAAAGATGTATTTGTTCACAAGTTTCTGGATTCTATGCAACTACCCTAGTTAAACGTCTTAAACACGGTATTTAAAACATCTTAAACGTTTAAAATTCTTCAGTTTGATTTCGAACTCAAACATACCTACAAGACCGCAGGTTATAACAACGTATGCATCCGACGGCTTCTAGAGGGTGCGCGCTCGACGGGTGAGTTCTTCGCAGTCGGATACGGTTGTCGTTAATCTAGCCAAAAGTACTACAAGGTCTTTGGTAGCCGTCAGGTACGCAATTACGACAGCACAGTCTTTCCACAGGTAGAGTACGATGTTTGATCCGTGACCGCGACCACCGCCGTATACAGAAACTAACCGGTATAGACGGTTGCGGCATACTTTACAGTACTCCTCTTTGGTTCCAATTTTGAATGATCAGAGTTCTTTACGAAGAGTTCGGTGCTGCGGTTTAATACTGAGTTTTGGAACATTTCTTCCTTTATTATACGAAATTCTCGGCGGAGTACAACTTCATTATCTTGCGCAGTCAAGGTACCAAATTTCCCAATTGTTGTCACTAACACTAGAACGTGTCCTGCAGAACTTCATTATGTTGCACCGTCCAGTCAAGGTACCGACTTTCCCAATTGTTGTCACTAACACTAGAACGTGTCCTGCAGAACTTCATTATGTTGCACCGTCCAGTCAAGGTACCGACTTTCCCAACTGTTGTAACTCAGACTAGAAAGTGTCCTGCACTGGATGTACGGCGAGTAAGTTCAAGACAACAGAAGCTTGAGTGAGGTGCTAAAAATGCTAATATTGGTGGGAAGATTGTCGAGGAAAAATGACCTTGAGGGAGTTGCGAGTAAAAATGACCTTGAGAGAGTTGATTAATGTCAAGGAAAACCAAGATGGACGAGATGAACTCCTCAATGAAACTCAGAAGCGGAAAAAGCAGTGAAAAGACGAGACAACGAGATTTTGTCAGCAATGTAAATGTTCGTCGCGCATCCTTGAAACTAACACTTAAGGGGCTTCTAAAGAAACTTGTACAGAGAGAAGACGTGGACAAAATATGTGACTATTTCCCCGAAAAATAACTAGCGAATGGGATTCTGGTATTGTACTAGTCAATATGAATGCAGGTCCTACGGTTGTCTGACGTGCTGGTGTGACATCTGTTCTCAATCCACCGAATATTGCCCACTTAGTCTATTCACGGCAGATGCACCGATCCACACTAACGCAGACTCTCACACCCCTCAGAAAGAACGAAGATCTCTACAGTAACAAGTCGCTATGTGCGATCTATCCAAGAGAAAAAGGGGCAAGTCACACTTCTTAACTGACTCATCCAGGTACAGTCATGCGTCTCTTCCACTTTGTACTTTATCTCCTGTATCAATAGGATGCTGTCACACAACAGAATAAGATTTCATGTTCCTTCACACAAACTCATGACAAGAGATTCTCTAGTTGAAAGGACAGTAATTTCGAGCGAAAGGTCACGCATCCGGCACGGACAGTGTAGCTTTACACATGTGCAAAGACTTACGTACTTTTTAGTAAGGAGACCAAAGATTTCTCCAAAAAGTGCATGGGTAATCTCATCTGTCTAGTTCATCCCTGAAGATCAGCTAGATACATTTCAGCTATGGGCCCGGCTCTCGAAAACTCCGCTAGTTATGTTAGTAGCTTATTACATAGTGATAGTAACAGGTTTTTCTTTTCCCTAACATTCAATACTTTTACGGTATCGTATGTATGAGAAATACATACGGCACAATGGTATTCTACCGGATGATCTATAAACTCGAACAAGATTCACAGTAAAAGGGTCGAACGACGCACTCCTTCGTTATCAAGAACGAGTCCTCTAGAAATCAAACTAAAGTAGGAAATTTTCGAAAGCCTTTCACTTTTCAAGTATCTTCTGATATTCCAACTCTACTGTGATCGTTAAGGAAACAAACCTCTATGAGTCAAAAAGCGGGAGTTACCAATGGAGGTAAAAAGCACTTCTTCGCCACACAGAGTCGACCTTTTCCGAGACAAACTAGCGCAGAGTTTCTTTGAAGGCACTTTATCTTTTTAGTATCCTGTTATTCTTCCAATTATAATCATCAGATAACCCAATCCTCATTCGTAGGTAGCAATGTTACATCGACAAAGATATGGAGAATCTACGTGTGAATCGATGAACATACCTGACGAACTGGAAACTTGCACTATCCTGCACCAACCACAAATTTCCTCTAATTCATAAAAGAGATAACAGTCGGTGTGAGATGAAGTGCAACATTTTATTTCCTTCTTTCCTTCCATGAAAAGTTCATCAGACGTTTCCACGCGTTGTACCTGCATAGACGTCAACATTTTGAAACAAAAATATTCTACGAGTTATAGTGATACATATGAGCTCACTTTTGTGAACTTCATATGCATCATCCTAAAACGCCTCTTTGTGCTTGTACAGTCTCTAACTGCAAAACCTCCGTGACATAAGGCAGTGACTTGCAAGTTCATGTACACGGCATAATTAAGAAACTCGGCAAATGCCATAGTGTTCGTCCGAAGCTTTTGCATAAAACATCCGACGTATTGATCGCATGGCCCGAGTACATACGCAGTAATGCGCTTCCTATGCAATTTCTCAGTAGACAAGGCACGATTATTACTTTGGGTTCCAGGAATGTTACATGCGGTCGACCACTTCGCTGTTTATGACGACCAGAAAACCAAAAACTCAAAACTTCCAAAAAGCAGTTGGCATTGCTCCAGTCCTGTGACTTGTTTAAGAAGGCACTTGGTGAAATCATTACCTTAAATCGTAGGTTAAAACTCTTTGTGAGATGTGCTGAGAGCACCTGCTTTCAATCATGAAACCAACTTCGATCAGAATTTAGCACATTGAGGTGATGACTGAAGTAGTCGCCATATCAATGACAATTGCTTTTCCTTTCATCAATGGAGAGAAATCGAAGGTCTCCATTACTTCTCATCTAACTCTTCGTACTCAATAACATTACTTCAAAACGCGAAGTGGGGAAAAGAAGAAGATGTGCACGTCACAGCATATGATGAGATCGGCGCTGATAGAAATTTTTTTTGATTGTCTGGGTCTCCACAGCTTTGGTATATTGCCTCCTGGAAGCCCTTCACAACATTTCAAGACACTTGTTCGTTCAACAATTTATGCCACGTGTACGTTATTGTATGCGCATCCATATCCCAAAGATGAAACACGGAATTATTTTTCACACAATGGAGGCACCAAACTTCTTCCTACCATGCCAGAATAAGACACATCCATTCTCCACATCCTTGATACTTCCACATGTGATGTAGTAGCGTTGAAAGAGGAGGCAAACGATTCCAAGATAGTGGTCAACCATATGTAGATGTTTACATATAGGAAGCATAAATCCCAGCTTACTACTGCTCACGTGGTTTGCAACGCAAACTTACGTCATTACATGTAAGCATGTTGGAAAAACTTTCAAGCAGATCACTCCCTCCAGTAATAGTGGGATTACTGCGGTCAGGAAGTATGGAAAGTACGAAGATACAAACATCACAGTTTCAAGAGGACGACTAACAAGCTCATCGCTTCCAACTCTCTTTTGGGAGGCATTATTCAATTCTCAAAGTGGCAGACACCTATGAGTTGTAGGATCCACAGAAAGACATCAGAACACACTTTGGGCATTGCTTAATGAATGTTTGCCAGACTTATGTCCACACATCTACTCCACACATCCACTAGTTTTCTCAGCAAAGAAAATAACACAACAAGTCAGATCTAGTCTATCTTGGCGAAGATGGTAGGCTAGCTTATTGAGCTGGGAAGAAAATGATGTCCCGATATTTGAACTCGCTCTTCACTGCTTTCACAGAATAGTTCATCTTGAAAGAAACTGGCCTTAATAAACGCCAGGCATTATATTCCCCTCTGCCCTGCATAACTTTTACGCCTGGAGTAAGTCAAAACATCCTACAGAGCCTTTTGGGTTTATGGCAGCTGTCTGAGGTATAAAGTAAAACACAATAAAACTTTCAAGCGAAAAAGTTAAAATCTGACTCCACAAAGAACCATCTACCTTCTAATCAGCAGTGTTTCTGGTTCGATGCAATCTTGGCACTAAGACGTGGAGAAACAGGGAGAAACTCTGACAATGTGTTGCTCATTTTTCTTCGGTGTTATCGTGACCACAGACTGCAGCTTTTTCTTCAGAAACCTGAAAATACGAAATATCAGCAATCGGCAGGGGAAAATATACATATCACTCTGTAAAATGAGTACTCAAAACCTGTAAATCTTCCAATGGTAATCATCAGAGTCGGTATCATCACTGGAATCAGTTGTGGATTACAAAAAAATAATGAGTCTTACTAACATATATGATGATTTCCAAGCGGTGGCAAATGAAACGGTCAGATTCGACGCATCACCCAAATTGAAAGATGAATCTTGGCAGTGAAGTCTAAAGAAGTGAATCGTCTGAATAAATATAAGTTCGACAACATGTAGCTCAACTATGACTTTAAGAGTATGATTTGTTCGATGAGCGAATCTCCTCTAGTTTGGCCTCTACAACTAGTTATCATAAACGGACTTTCGTATACCAACGCGTTGTGCATATGAAGACTACTAGACTTACTACAACGTGCGAACTCAAAAGAAACTAACATGTAATGTTTCAAGTCTTGTAACTGGTTTTGTCTTCTTCTTCTTCTACTCCCCTATTGCTCTTTCTGCTTATTTGATCTTTATATTGCTGCCAGTGATGTCGATAGGCACATATAATTTGATTCATTTTGAATTGAGTATAGTGTCCCTTTTGATAACATTACCTGTAATCAAATCACCTAACAACCTGATCGTCTTCTGTGCAGCTGGAAGGAAACAAGTCTGAACTATGCTTCATAGGACTCATGAAGCAGAGTTCAGACTCGTTTAAAATGTTAACAACATCAAATTCATCAATCGAAAAAGCTAGCCACCAGACAACTGGATGGTGGAAAAATCACAATGTTTATTTTAAACCCTAAACCTTGGATATCCTATTGCAGTGTGAAAATGATACTTCATATTACAAAGCGAGAAATAACAGGAAAACACAGCAAATTGTTTTCATCATTAACACTGTGTCGTCGTTGGGATTCATAAATCTAAGTGGCCTTGAGCGCAGTATTTCAACCTTCCTGATGTGCAAATGTGACAACTAAAGTCCTTGACTACTAAAGTCCTGACGCTGAAGAATGACGGATATAGTTTGTGAAAGACCAGTCATATTCATCACTATCCGGCATAACAGTATCCGCCATACCCTTGAGAAACTTGTACGTACCAGACGATTCCGTCACTTCACCTCAGTCGACTGTCAAACAAGTTGTCAGACTGCGTGATTACACGGATATGATGGAGGCAGTACCATAAAATGTGTTTTGATGTTTACTGCGATGGTGCTAGGTTCATTGTCTCTTTCAGAGATTTAGCGTAGACAGTCTACATCGTAGAAGAGGTTAACATATCAAGTTACTACAACTAAGAAAAACACATGAATAGAGGTATGCACAAGCCAGAAGGATGAAGCCATGTGCCTTCATCAATCAGTAGAATCAGATGGGTATAAGATGAGTTTCCAAGAGCAAGATTTAAATCTCTCCAATTGAGGAGGACAACAACATTAACTTTCCGTAACATTGGTGTCCCTCTCAATGACAAGCAGAGGAGCTTTGCTGACGCCACTTCCAGTTGAAGAAAATCTGCCCCTTAAGTCTACAGATAAATGTTGCAGATATTGTTAATTGACAGATATCAAATCTAAGTAACAGGAGAGTGTGATGAACCTTATTCCAGAGACTAGATCTAATCCTCGAAGAAATTTCCCAGAAAACTATGTGAACCTGACCTGATTGGCGGGAATAGCGATGAAAGACTATTTCTTCATCCGCCATGTAAAGTTTGAGAAATAACTTACCAGACACGAAAGGGAGGTATGAACAGGAATACCTTGCACATAGCTACTCACTAAAAAACTGACAGAGGGATGAATACTAAGAGTAAAGCATCAATCTTTGATCCTGGAGTATCTCACCATGTATTCCTGCCTGGTGTAATAAAGCTCTCGGAGTACTGAACCAGCAGAGTGGTAGCTTCTGTAAAGCAAGATGAAGTCCACAGTTAGATGCTTGTATAACGCAACAGAATCACCATAGGGGCTGCTTCTGAAGGAACAACGAAAGGGCATAAGGATTTGACGTATAATTACCGGAGAAACCTCATCTCCAACGAAACAAATCCTGCTAAGATTACAAAATCTATACCACCTGTGAGTCGATGATCCAAGCATCTAACTTAAGCAACTACACGGCGTTTCTCTCCATGCCCTGTTCATCTCGCAATGCAGTGTTTAGACTCTATTACATCAGAGATGTAAATTCACCAAAAATGCCCTCATTGATAGCCCAAACCTCCCCTCCACCGATCACCCGATCTCTGCATGATCAGCCCAGCCCTCGAACATCCCAGCTGCAATTCTTCGACCGCTTGCTTTCAATTCAGACACTCGTGGCATTTTTGTTAAGCCACTCGCTCAGATGAGACACTGCGAGAAGAGACGGTCAGCTCCTTGGTGATTCCGTTTGCTTTTTCTTGCCCACGTTATTACCACAATAAAACCTCAGGATAGATAAGTACTACAATTAGGTCCGAAAGAGATCTGAAGCCGTGAAGAGGTGTATCGTCGCAAATCCTTGTCATTTCGAGCTCACATACACTGCTGAAATTAAACTGATTCGGCGTCCAACCACTTACATCGTTAACCTTGTTCCTATGTTTCAAAACTCGCAACTGAAAAAATGCATCTCTGAGTGTTACTTGATTTCAGAAAAATATCAACTACGCATGAAACAAGTTCTTGCTACCTGCTAGAGGCCTGAGCCTCAAATGATTTCACGGATACTCGTAATTCTGCGGGAGTGCAGTTGTGCAGCTGCAACAAGCCATAACTCAAAGTGAAACAAAATCTCAAAGATGCTAATTATGTTCCTCTCATACTGAAATTAGATTTAGCTGATAATTTAGATTTTTGGCACGGTTATGAGAACATGCAATACTTTTATCTTACTACTAGATAGAGATATCTCTAATTATTATGCAATTTTTCTTAATATAATAATGATATTTATTACTTACATCATGTTTCATTACGAGAGTATGTAAGATGTGAGGTTTTTTTTTAATTTCAATCTCATTTATCAATAAGTTCATTATGTATGTTATTTGATTGAAGTTTTTATTTTTTTTGAAAAAATTACTTGATGTTCCAAAGGAAATGCACTTGCTCTTATCCAACATAATTCATTTTACGGATATTACATCGGTAATCCATGTTACAATACAAGTTCTTTTAGCCTTATAGTTTGCAGCTATAGTGTGGAGAAGTGACTCTCACATCATTACTTCGGCCAAAGTGTTACAATGAAAACACTTCCTCAACTTGAGAGAACACATGTCAAAACATACGAGTAGGTTGGCTCAATATGACAAACAAAATGAAGACTTTCATTGCGTGAAAATTGATTCAATTTGGAATATTTATTAGAGAGTTCAATCAAGCATGCCAAAAGGTCAGTGTATGATCTAGAACTCTCCTCATAAGCACCCAAACCTGTCACAACCAAGATCATGATTCTTTACCGTCCTAGTTGAATTGGGCTTTGTTCATGTTCAATTCAGTGAACTTGAGAGTAGTAGAAATGCTAATCAAGGCTTGTGTAGCCATGCCAGAATCTTTCAGCAACCCTAAATGAAGTATTGGAACCCAATAGCTTGAGTTACTTCATTGAATATACACACAAAGCTCTTATGTGTAAGGAATGACATGCCGATATAGCCTTTCTAAAGGTTAAGTTGCTTGCATAAAAGTAGCAATGGTGTTTGAAAATATTCATAATTGATTCACAAAGTAAGCTAACTTGAAGTGTAAACTTTTTACATCTATGGATATAACTTCTGTTAGAATCTTGTGCCGAGCGTGTTGTGATCATCAAACTCAAGACATTGATGTTTTTATATTGTTATCATAACATCACAAACAAGTTCAAGTTCCATATGCATGTGTATGTTAGAATGTTATTGTCAAATTTTGATTATGTCATTTTCAACTTTACTTACGGTGTTTCTTTCTAAGTAGTTGAATCAAAGTTTGTGTCTAAATGCAAGTAATAATTAAGTCAATCTTGCCCGGAATCTTGAATTGAATTCTTAGATCTGTACGCCAAGCACATTAAAATATTCAAATATTCCGTATCAATTTGCTCAACAAAGTTTGTTGTCAATATTTTTGATAGCTTTTTATGATAAATATTTGAAATTTGTTACAATCTCTTATCTATTTCAATAATTAAATTTTTTACATATAAATCTTGTGAACTCAAGAGCAAATAACCAACAAAAAATCTCTTGTTACTCTACAAATTTGTCTTGTCATACAATCCACAAGAAATCTTTGTCTCTACCATTTCACAAATTTGTGCATCTTGTCCATGTTCCAATCACCATAATATAGTCCAATATTATCACTGAAGTAGCCATTTGAATTTTTTTTCCTGCAAAACTTTCTTATTTGTATTCTAATTCACTATAGATTTTTGCTAAAATTGATCAATATAAGATGTTGGATGTAATCATCTTTAATTAGTTAGAACTAAAGTAGAGTTTACTCATAATGTTTATATAGCTACTTTAGCGTGCACTAGTCATAGTTGTCACGTCAACAATCCGCGTGCTTGGTAGGTAGAGAGTAATTGTTAGTTGACAACGTCACGTCAGCAATCTATGTGCTTGTTAGGGTTATTCGTCGTGTCATTCATCCATTAAGAGTGAAATGGATGGTATTTTAACTCCTTGTATCTGTTGATAAGAGTTATATAAGGAAGAGTAGAATCATTGTTGATATTTTTCATCTTCACAGTTTATGTTTTTATCTTCAAATGAACTTCTCTTTAAATCCTAGTGTTACAATGGTATCAGATCGAACTTACTTTTTTCTTGAGCATGAATTATACCTCATGAAATAGCAAATGAATGATGATAAAGTGCAATTTTTGAAAATATATAAAGGCTGGCAGAGGCCATTGATCCGCATGTAAAGAAAGTGGAAAGCAAAAACTTATGATTTTGCAAATGTGTTAGAACTTGACATGAATCCAATTGCGTATTGGTCAATTCCAAACATATTTGATATTCATCTTTGTTGCATAGAAAAATCTTGTGATTTGTTGGAGTGCAGATTTTATGAAGAGAATGGTTGAGTTAGGAGTGCCACTAATTCTTCCAATAATTAGTCATAGAGAGACTTGAGATTGCCATATACATTCTAAACTGAATGTTTTATGTATTTGAATATGTATTTTGCAATACATATTCAAATATGTATTGCAAAAATACCGTACCGGTTTGATTCAACAGTTCTGTAAAGATTAGAATAGTATATCGACAAAATATTTGTGGAGAGATTTTCTTTTGATGAATTATGCGAAATAATATCATAGAGTTATGATAGAATCACCTTTTGTGACCCTTTTGTTGAGAGGTCAAATAGTGATTATATTGACTTTATATTAGAGTGAGTGGGAAAAAGCATGGAGACATCAATAGATATGGATTAGATTCATAACACAATCATGGCGAAAATGAAAGAGTTGAAAAAAATGATAATAAATGAACATACGAAACAAAAAGCCATGGAAGATATAATCTTTGCATTGGAACTTAGAAAGTAGAGAGATAAGTAAGTTTAACCTCAAGTTCTAGCTCTCTAAGTTCAACCAGAACCGAACTAAGTTGAATATAATGATGCACCAGAGTCAAATAGGAAACGTGTTCAGAAGATTAAAGATCAAACAACTCTTTGGCTTTGAATGGAGAAATCTTGTAGGTTGAAAACTTACAAAGTGAGTAAAGGCATGAGAGTTTTAGAGTTATAGATAATCAAAATGAATATTTATTTATCTCATTTTCATATTTTTGAATATATTACATGAATGTTCATGACATTTTATTTTACGGATAAGTCTCTCACATGATACATAATATGGAAAATAATGTTTTCAGAACGAGATGCTACCATTTCATGAAGTGGAATGTAGAAAGAATTTATGAAAAATCTTCAAGCGTTGTACTCTCTTTAAATTACAAGAATGAGGTTGTGAGATTTTGAAGCAGAAAGTAGCTATGTATGAATCATGAATGTGTGTACCTTGGACGTTTTCAAACAAAGCTTGATGAATCAAATTCAACAGAAGTTAATCATAAGCAATACATTTACAATGAACAAAGCAATCACAATTGCTCAACAAATTTTGGATGCTTATGGTATCACACACAGTGAACTAGCAAGCAATTTTTGAAATTGATACTAACTGTGCATGGAAAACTTTTGACGTATAGAAAGATTTGGAGGTGAGACTTGTCGTGAGAATATATATCGTCATACATTCTACATTGCTGACATGCTACTCACATACGCATACGCACACGTACACACATATAAGACGCGAGGGCGTACACACTCAAATGTACCACACCGTCTGTACAACACGTTCAGCTAAACCATCCGCCTCTGGATGATCTCGCGACGTGGTCATATGATCAATCAGCGCCTTGTCACACAAGACATGAGACTCATCCTGAAACTCCCTCCCCTGATCGGTCAACACCTTAGCTGGTGCACCATAGTGACTAAGCACCTTGTCAAGAAAAGCATATGCTACTCCCTCACTTGCCTTGTCAGGTAATGTGTAACACTAGGGTTTAGAGAGAAGTTCACTCGAAGATAGAAACGTAAACTCTGAAGATGAGAGATACCAACAATGGTTATCCTCTCCCTTATATAGCTCTCACCAACAAGTACAAGGTGATAAGATCTAATCCCCACCATCCATACCTCTCATAGTGGATGGATGACGTGGCGGATAACCCTAACAAGCACACGGATCGCTGACGTGGCGCACCTAACTAACACACTAACTAACACACTCAATCCTTAGCTACAAGCACACGGATTGCTGACGTGGCACTGTCAACTAACACATCCACTCTGTACCTACCAAGTGCGCGGATCGCTGACGTGGCAGCTATGACTAGTGCACACTAAAGTATCTACATCAATATTCAGAGTAACCTCTACTTTAGTTCTAACTAACTAAAGATGGTTACAAACCTCCCTCCTTTTAAGATGCAACGTCCTCGTTGCACATACGTTCAAACTCCTGAACTATCAAAGGTGCATTTGCTAAATTTTTAGCTGGTTCCCAAGTTGATTCATACGATGGATAGCCTTTCCATTGAATCAAATACTCTACTTTGGGATATTTATGACCTCGAATACGTTTCTTGAGTATCTTTTCTACCTCAAACTCCTCATGATCTGCTATCAAGGTTGGAAGAGGAGGTGGTGCTGGTTGGTTGGTGAATTGTTTTGGTCGTGGTACATGTTTTCGCAATCGTGACACATGAAATACTGGATGTATTTTCATATGTGACGGAAGTTCCAACTTGTATGACACTTCACCAACACGCTTCAAAACCAAAAATGGACCAATGAACCTAGGGTTTAACTTTGATGTTCCTACAAGAGACAAATTCGTTGTAGATAACCAAACATGATCTCCAACCTCAAAAATCACTTCTCTAC